CAATGCAGTAGAGTGGGGTGTTCTCCGTGTCAGTGAAGCGTCTCTCGACGGCTGCAGCTGAAGTTCCCTTCATTGTTTTGATGCCATCGTCCTCGTCTATGTCTTTGGTGTAAAGTCTCTAAAGCACTGTCACAGCAAGAAGCACATTTTATGCCAAAGCATCAAGAGGGGCTCACTTTTGGGATTAACTCAGAAAAGATGAAGTGACTGTGGCATGTAGTACATGTTGTTCCAGCAGGTCTGCACGTCCTGGTGGACTCTTCTTATAGGCTGTGTGAGCTGCACCCGAATGTCCTCCAGGCACGAGTAGTTTAAAGTGAAAAGTGTAAAATGTCTATTTTACATCTGCCTGCCACTGTATCAGTTACACTTCCCTGAGCCAAATGACCCTTGTTAACAGCCAGCTGGAGGGTGCGAGAGGAACATGGCAGCACAGGGAGTCCAGCATCACTCATGGCCTTAATCATGAACAGAACATTTCAGAATGCCCTGCATCTGAAGCACACCATCAAACAGACCCGCTGTGACATGGCTAGTCTGCAAACTCCAAAGCTGCTTTGCTTGTAGATCGACTCCCCGGGGAGTAAAATCCTCATCAATCGACTGTGCAGTTACACTGATGAGAGACATTGGGCCGACACTACTGTTCCCATTATCAGTGGTGAAGTTGAAGCCCGAAATGCCCTGCAACAGCAACAGGCTGGTGATGTGCTTTTTCACAAAGTCCCGCAGCTTTGGTAATACAGTTTCTGTGACGTGGTGACAGCCGGGAATCAAATACTCCTGCTCCACTGCACTGGGAAGACAATGTAATCCTGTATTATCTACAGTTGATAATGGTTGGTCATCAAGAGTGATGTACTGGGTCGTAGTTAGTTGATGCTGTTTCCTGCTGCTAGCATTAGCAAACTCCTTGAACTCTGTGTTGTGTGTGCTCTTTAGATGTTTTATCAAATTGCTTGTGTTAAAGGAGCTATTTTCACCATCCTATGACAATTTGTGTAGAGTGTAGTTTGCAGTCTGCTCTACTTTTGTCATCATCGCATCATCCCAAAATATCTTCAAACTGCTGACACTGCCCCTTGCCTACCTGCTCAACTGATAAGGTTAACGTCCCATTGCTGTACAGTGGTATTGGTATTATATTGGAGTTTTGTGATTGTGATTACAAGTACAGTATCGGCTCAATCCTGGTGACAGTATCGGTGCATCCCTACATCTTATGAATTTCATTCAGTGTAAAGTATGTTTTAAGAATGAAAGTAGAGAACCTACACTATCACGTATTTAGACTATATTAAATGACACTCAATATTTTATCAGTACAACTTTTAAGCCAACTTGTCTTACTGCATTTAAAATATGAGTATTTTCTTTACAATGACTCTATGCGTGAGCTCTAAATGGATTAGTAGCTGTAAACGGTTTAAAATGAGCATAATAAACAGGTAGAAATAAACATGGTCATGAAATGATTCTCAAGTGCTCTGGAAAAAAATGGTCTCATGACAACTGGGCAACCTGTTGATGAAGATCATGCTATATGATTGAAAGCTCCAGGACAGCTGCTAAATAGAACCTGAGATGAGACGGTTTTGTCAGCTAAATATACTGAATTTAGTTTGTGAAGCTCAGATTAAAAGTAGTCTATAAAAAAAGAAAAAACAGGGAACAAAAAAACAAACATTTTTGTCAGCATAAAAAACAGTAAATGTCCCCACAATAAAACCACCACCACACTCCATGCGGTGTTGGAGTTTTGTTATGTCTGTGAGTGCTACTGAGGTGTCTGCTGAAAAGGAAACCATAGTTGTTTTAATAAAACATGAGTAAACAGCAAAGAAACAGTATATAATCTTCTCTGGTAGCACTGCAGCTTTAAAGCACACGCACAGGGAGAGGTTGGGGATCAGAGGAAAGAGAGGCAGGGATGTTAATCTCACAAAAACACACCTGCATGCAGGAATACACCTTTGCATTACAGACAAACGCTGTCTGCTTTTTTCCTTATCTCTCCTCTCTCCTCGACAGTCCAAGTTGCTGCCTATCTGCTCGACTCCTTGTCACTCCTCTACACAACATCCACAGCTACAGTTTCTCTGATTTTACTTAGTTTTTTACCCACTGACGAATATGTATTATGGACCACACACACACACACACACACACACACACACACACACAAACACACATATATATATTTATATATATATATATACACACGCATAGGTTATGCCTCTCTGTAACCACTAAGCAGTTCAATGAACTGGCTCTATGTTGCCGTTGGAAGCTTCGCCTCTTACAGCAGACCATGTCTCTAGTTAACAAGGGCCCTCCTCAATTAGTCTCCATGGAGGCACTTGCTAAAATAGCCACAGAGCCCTTCTCCTCTCCAACCCCCTCCCCTCCCCACCTTCATCTATCCACCTTTATTATTTAGAACCATGGGGATCTGTGTTGCCATGGATTCTGTTGTCATGGCTACAAACAACTACGCACATGTACAGGAAGTGGAGAAGGACGAAGGAGAAGGGAGGGCCGGGGCAATAAGGGGTCTTGGAGGAAGCTTAACCTCTGCACGGGGGAGATCCAGCTGCGATAAGTCTCAGGGTGTCGGGGTGACGGGGTGTGAGCACTGCCAGGATGTCCACCATTTGTTCAATGACAGATGAAGGTCGGGGCAAAACCCTCAGAGGGATAGGAGAGACTGCATCAAATGTGTGGCATTTCCAGAAGTGTTGTTTTCTTTCTCGTGCCTCTGTTGTCTCAGAGGGGACATTTCAGGGCATTTTCTGGTCTCACCTTGAGTGTGACAATAACACTTTTCCCATATTCCAAAAGCATCTTCCTGTGTTAGTTCAGGAAGGCATAAGGAGAATTTTTGAGATGCAGAAAACATTAAAATCCTACACTTTGCATTTATAACCAGATAAAACATTGTGATTCCTTCTGTGCCTGCGCAGCCTTGAAGGACGCGGGATGATTTACATAGGGCAGATAAGAGCGGAGTTTTATCAGTGTTGACGGACAACTGACTGTTTAATGTGCGCATGCAGAAATGAAGTTTGCGGCACGTCCTTGATTTTGTAATGCGTTGCAGTGAAACTCAAAGGCTCTCATGGAACACTTTGTTCTCAGTGTTGTAGAGTAAATCAGTGCTCCCAAAACAAAGCATCCATAGATGCCACATGTGGTTAAAAACACGGGTTGAGAGGCGTCCCTTCCTGTTGTGCAGCAGTTTGACTGGAGGTGATTTAAGGACAAGGTGCAGAAAATGCCTATATAGATGTTTCCCCTGATCAAAAGGAAGTGCCTTTGATAGTGGTTCCTCCATGGCATCGCCCTAATGAGGGAGCTCTTCACTGAGCTGCTAGATCAATAGTGGATCAACCATCCTTATCTGATCTTTACAAAGCTCTGGAAAATCTCTAAACTGCAAACCTGGACCAAAATGGAGCTTTAAGAAAAAGTAGAAGTCATGAAACATCCACTTGAAAAAGAATGCGTGAGACAAGTATCTCACAAAATTTCTTATCTTAATGAAGTTATCTTAAACAATAAAATTATATTTCAGCATCAAATATAAATATGTTTATCATCCTTGTCCTCAAAAAGTGCCATAATTTCAAGGTACACCACCCATTTCAAGTAGAAGCTTTTCATAATGTTGACTGCAGCTCCACCTTGTGGGTTGAATACACACCGACCACGAAAGCTGTGCTATTCAGTGTGTGTGTGTGTCTGTGGCCATTTAGCCAGTTATTTCTTTCCTCTCATTTTCTCTCTCTCTGCCTGTCTTCACATCATCATCTGCCCTGAAAAAAAACAAACATCTAAGCCAGAATTCCCTATCCTCATATGCAGTATGGGTTAAATCTGCATCCTGTGATTTGTCATCGGGCTTCTTTTATGGCAGCATTTTACTGGTTTTGTGCTGAGCAGCTCTCAAAGATGAGATAAATGCACTGGAGGTGATTCCACAGAGTGAACTCTGTCGAAAGTACAAGCACTTGGCTGTTAACACATCCTACACTGTTAATGCAGACAGAGTGCATTAAAAGAGAGAAGGAAAATCGATGACACAGCTAAAGTAACAGGCCCACGCAAGAGGTCTGCAGTACTAATAGTAGCAATCCTAATGAGCTCTGCGCTATTTCTTTAAATGCTTAAAATGTGAATTAGATCATATATTTAGGTGTGTGGCAGAGTTCACTGCACAAATCTTGTATGCAGATTATGGGATTCATTGTGAGTGTTTCACACTTTGCGCTCATGGCCACCGTCTATTTCTGTGGTTGCAGTTATGTGTGACTGTCTTTAGGAATGTGCCTGACTATATTACACCCTGGTCCCTCCCTCAGAAGCTGTGCTAAAGTAACAGCTGATGTCATGTCAGTCCTGCTTAAAGACATACACACTCACACACACACACACGGTCCCTGTTGAGTACGCCCACACTACAACCTGTCTACCATTAGACAGTAGCGTCAAGGGTGCAGTAGAGAGCCAGTCAAAGGGGAGGAGGGCTCCTACACCTTCCTCTCCCCATGACACATCAGCACTTGGCTCAAGGAGGCTCCATACCAAATCCACAATCCCAGCCTTGAATCCCAGTTACAGCAGACCGAGGAGGGGTGGGCAGTTACTGTATCTAAGGCTCTCAGCAGACCCATGTGCTTGGCTGAATCATGGCGCTGCCTTGTCTTCCTTCTGAGACCCCCACCACAGCTAGCTCCTGCTCCACGGACCCCCTGTACGACAACTGCCCACCTTTTGCCCAGCGAGGGAGGGCCAGGGAAAAGGAAATGGAGAGTAAGGTTGTGTGCCCGGCTGTAACCAGACTCCCAGGCCCCTGCAGCCCTCTGCCTGCTCTGGCCCCAGCTGTGGCTGAGGTTCCCACACTGGTCGGTGGGGGAAGAGGGCCTGGCGCCTGGCCAGATCACAGCTACTGCAGCTGGAGAGGAGGCCAAGGGAGACAGGCTTGGGAAGCAGAGCTGGGTCCAGGCATAAACAGAGCAAGAGGAGGAGAGAGAGGAGGAGAACAGGGAGGTAGTGGGGGAGTTGAGAACAGAGCTCATCTGAACCAGAGTCCCAATACATCAGAGAGTGAGCAGCACAGGAGTGCTCTGTCTCTTTATGATAACCTCCCTGACGCTGTCACCCCCGACAGCCTCCAGGAGGTCTTTCAAATGGAAACAGGTTTCCAGGAGCATGTGCAGGAACAGATGTATCAGGCATGGGCCCCTGAACAGATCCAGGGACTGATGGAGGGTGATGGAGTGAGTGAAGAGAGGAGCCCCTGGTCATCCTGTGAGATCATCCTCGCTGAAAGCCGTTCCAGTAACAGGGACCAGAATTCAGACCAAGACAAGAAGCAAGAACAGGAGCCAGAGCTGGACTCAGGATCCTGTGGATTTAAGCAGGAGGACCGGACGCTGCATCTCCAGTTCCCTATGTCAGCTCACGTCCTTACAGCAAGTTCCCCTCAGCTATGCCCAACTGAGTGTCAGGCCATGTGGCCCCCTGCTGAAGCTCAGCACCCAGAGCAGCCTTCCTGGTCTCCCAGGGTGCCCCCTCCTGTACCCCTGGCTGACCCCTCTGCCAGCGCCCTGCGCAGCCTCCTCACCAGCCTCCAACAGCAGATAATGCGACAAAGGGAGGAGTATGAGGAAAGGATAATCAGGTAATGCTCTTTTTGTTTTGTTTTGCATTTCCATTTCAAAGTACACAGTGCACATAATCACCTTACACATAGTAGGCATACCATGTAAAAGTCAAATGAAATGTCCTAAATGTAATGTGCTTTTGCTCCTGGCTTCAGTATTACACGTTCAGTTCACTGACTTGACTATAAGAATTTTTGCAGCCTGTGGTGTATTTCCAGTGAAGGGTAACACAATGTTCCCAGGGCCAGAAAGTGTGTGTGTCCACTCAGCTGTGCTGCTCTGGTCACTCAGCTGACCCCAAGCTTCACCCTATATCCTGTTTAGTTCACATTGCACCAACAGCTGATTAAAGTTTCCCAAAACCTCCCGTGACATATACAGCCACCGGTTCACATCCAGTACTCAGATGTGCCATATTTGCTGTTTGTGCATGTATGTGAGTTTCCCATTGATCTATAAGTCAAATTAAAAGAATCCTATATTTTGTATTAGAAAAGAGCCGGTTGGTATAAGTTGGAGAACAGCCAGTCTGTGTGGTTGACATATAGAAACAGCACAAGGCACTGGAAACAGAGCTAATTTAAGGGGCCATGTTGCTGACCTAGACACAACACATACCTCATTTATTACTGATATAGATAGAGTGAGTCTCTGTGTAAGGTTAGGTGTTGCTAGTGGTTGGCAAGAACAAGAGGAAAATGACAATTCCTTCTTTATAGTAACATAGATTTCACTGAACAATTCCACCCAAACTTAGAAGTCACCTGTTCTGCCTTCTGCAACCATATCAGGCATCAAACTCAACAACTGACTTAAATGTCATTGATTGACCAACAAATAAGCAAGTAACCTTTCCCCTCCCTCCTTTTGTCTTCAACATCAAGCCTAGAGCAGAGAAATGAAGAGCTGCAGGTAGAGGTTGTGCGGTTGAAAACAAGCCTCGCACAGCAGCGGCACTGGTACCAAACTATCCAGGCTAAGATCGTGGAGTCTGAAAGGGCCCGTGGTGCTGCAGAAAAACGCAATGCAACACTGCAAAGAGAGATGGAGCAGTTCTTTGACACCTTCGGAGAGCTGAACAATGAGGCCAAGAAGACAGAACATATTGTCAAGAGCTTTTGAAGAAGAGTCTGTTCGGTGTGTGATGACATGAATGTGTAGGAAAGAAATGCACAGTACCTTGTATAGTAGTTTGTCTCTGCCTAGCCAGAACATTTTTGTCTCTCTCTGGGAGGGATTAGAGTGATGTACAGCTATTTCTTCACTGAAAGGAAATGAATCACTGATGTCCACTTTATTAGTTGCGTAAGGGCAAAGATGCTGGCCAAGTGATAATATTGTGGTCATTGCAATCACACAGGACATCTCTGAAAATAAAAGGAGAAACAAACTGAACAAAAAGTGTGAGATGTACAGTGTATACAATGGAGCTTTTTTTTTTTTTTTTTTTTTAAACATGGAAAACACACAAGATGTTCTGAACACTAACGCTCAGTCCTTATCTGATAAGATGTTCGGGAGTGAATTGGCCACTCCTCAGGTCATTTAAGGCATGACTGAAAGAAAAAGGTCATGTCATAAAAGGAAAATATAGTGTACAACATAGTGCGAAAGTCCTCAGTGACTCCATAGTGTCATATTTCTGCATGTCCATCACACTGTGCAATCAGTTCAGCAAAAAGCAGCTCCACAGTCCATTTCCAAGGTTCATCTTTTAGTTTCAATCTTAACAGTTGCAAGGTCCAGATTTTGACTCCACAGTCACATCCTCATTTTAAACCACGTGTCTGCTTTTTGTTGCTGGGCCAACTTCCTCCATAGATGTTGCCTTTAGGGACGGGGCGACTGCTGTCTTTAAGGACAATTCAAAGGAGATAATGAAGGACAGTGACCCACAGTACATTTGGTAACACATACACACATATAGGCTTACAAGGCAAAAAAAAATACAACATCTCTCAAACAGGCTTTCAGAACCAAGAACATCAAGGTACTGTAAGTAAAAGAACTGACCTGAACGGATTTCTCTTTTTAATAAGAACTACAGTATCTTATAGGCATTGTTGCTGCCTTCATGCAAGTTAAACACCATCTTTTGTGTTTTACTGCCTTTGCATGTGTTTTACATGATGTCTGATTCATGATTCATTTTGTTACTGTCCCAGTATTAATGGAATGGTTTAGAAAAGGAGCAGCCCATGCATTTATCTGTCAATAAAATGTTTTGACAAGAGGCTTGATTTCCATGGGCCTCGAGGTGATTGTGTGCAACATTTTGCAAGAACACAAAAATAAATACTACATGTTTTTTTTGCCTCTCCCAAATTTATAGGACAATGATGTTCTTTTGATATACACATTGATAGTACCTTATGTCAAATGGGGATGATTGCAATATATAGTTCCACAGATATGTTGAGTTTCTTAACAAAACAAGCACACCTTATCTACTGTATTTGAAATGAAAGGGTCTGCAGCCACTATGAATGTCAGATCTTGACATCTTTACATACAGTACATTATATCAGGAAATAAAACTAACACTGCAACCACAAGTTCCCATAACTGACAGGAGTAAAAGCTCAAAATCCACATCACTCAAGCCAATGAATTAAAAAACACTGTGCAGAAAGCACCACTGTGGAGATCTGCAATAGCTAAAGCTAAATGATCAAACTATGGATTAGTGTTTGATCATCAGATGAACATCGGACGGTTGGTGTGCTCGACTTACGGGAAGCTTTTGTTCTTATTGGCGTAACATGCATGAGAGCAGCTGGCTCTGTGTTCAGTGCGAGTCTGCTCTAATTTGATGACAATAACCTCTGGTCTCAACTTAATATTCGCTAAAAAAATAAAACTATTAAAAAACAGGCATAAAGAACAAACAACAATCCTCCACCTTCTCTTAGTAACCTGAAAATCAATATGGATGCATACATCTTTACACTTGATCAAGTTAAACATTATCCACAAAGAAGGAAAAGAGAAACCTTTGACCCAAGATATAGCATAGATAGCTTTGACCTCTAGGCAACAGTCCAAAACAAAGTTTGAAGATGAAGAGGACCAGCAAGATCCACCAGATCATACAGGGAAAGAAAATAGAAAAATAGACCTATTCATTGAGGTTAATTTGAGAAAAAAAAAAAAAAAAAAAAAAATCCAAAATGGGAAGACAGGGAGTAAACAGAAGAAAGGATGGTGGTGATTGACTGATATTTGGATATTGTAAATGGGAGGTGGGGACAGATGTGGCCATGGGCTGCGTTCACTGACTCTCGTCCAGCGGTCCCGTCAGTGTGTCGATGCTGCTGCTGTCTGTGTCCGAGGCCAAAGTGTGCTCCGTGGACATGGATGAGATGTCGTTGGCTGAGGAGGACTGGGAGGCTGAACCTGACACCACATCTGATACATGACATGCACAATGGAGAGATACAGAGTTTAGGATTAAGAATAACAGTTAATACAGTGAATTTCTTCAACAGATGTGTCCACAATGGCATATTTCAGGAAACTAGTCTTAATATGAAGCTACAGCACTTCTTACAGCAGTTTAGTAACCAATATAGCTGATAATGAACGAAGATGGTGCATGTACGTACCTGAGCAATCTTCTTTCATTAGTCCATTCTTGTTCCTTTCCTCCCAGTCAATCACCTCTTCATAAATGAGTTCTGAGGAGAAATAAAACATTTTATTATATAATTTATTTCCTGTGTTGGACACTGGGTTAAAGAATGATTTAACATGTTTTAGACTCGTTTTGTCACATGGAAGAATGTTGCTTTTATTTGCACGTAAATGGAATGCCCATACCATTCTGGCCTGTGGATTTTCATGATAAAAGTGAAAATAAACATAGGTGTTGCTAAGCTGCAGCTTCAAGCGCTTTGGACAGTTCATCACATGAATATCTTAGATATAGAAGAAACATGAGCTGAAATCAAGTTTCCTGTACATTTGTTAAAATCTTAAGGAAGTTAAGCTGCACTGCTGATATGTTTCCCTAGAGGGCAGTGCATCCTACCTTTCCACTGCTCGATGGTGTGCTCCCTCTCTTCCAGCTGCTTATCTGAAATCTGGGGAGGAGGCTGTGAAACAAAGAGAAATACATGTATCACAGCAAGGTCACACACAACCACTGCACTGAGTTAAACCACTGAACTGTCTCGAGTGGAGGAATCGCCTCACCGCGTCGGCTTCTGCAGGGTCGTACCACACATGAATGTAGGGGTGGTTGAGGGCCTCTTCTACGGAGATGCGGCTCTCAGGATCAATGACCAGCATTTTGGACAGCAAGTCCCGTGCCTGACCTGCTGTTATGGCAACAGAGGAAGGGCAATGTTACTATGGAAACAGGCCTACGACATCACTTCATTCAAGCAGTCTTCATGACTCAACTGATTACTTCCCTTCGTGGTATTGGGTAACATCTCTGGGAATGTCAAGATTTGTTCTCTTGTTTTAGTGATGTGATCTCTAGCTCTTAATGCCACAGATTAGGGCAGATCTGCATGGTCATTCTCTGAACTAGTTGTGTAAGAGGTCCAGCATTCAGCTTCTTTGTCCCTGTAATTTTGTTAGGAACTGTCTCGTAACATCAATATACTGCAGACAAATGGCTCCCTTTCACTAAAATCTATGCATACGTCTATACATACAGGGCAGTGTTCTTGTCAAGAGATTTAAAAACCAAGTTGAAGTCGACTTAAACAAGTGTATTTAAGTATCCAAAATTCTTACTCTTCAGTTTGTCGTGCTCTGAGTCAGAAGGAAAGGCCCAGTCGGGGAAAAGCTCAGCAAAGCTGACGCCAGGATACTGTGGCTTGTTCATCACATAGTTCCTCACAGTCTCCATCAGTCGGTTCATAAACTCCAGACTGGGCGTGCCCAGAACCTCAATGACCTTATTCCACTGGTCGATGTCTGGACAACATGCTTGTTATGGAAAAATCCTGCTGCATTGTGGGAATGCATGTATTTAAGCAAATGCAAAGAACACATGAAAAGGCAAAGAATCAAGTGAGAAATACACTGAATTGATCCATGATTGATTGATCATAAAGTATAGGGCTGAACAACTAATCGAAATATTATTGAAATCGCAATATGGCCAAGTCCAACATCCAAATCGCAGGAGCTGCAATTTTTTAATGAAGGTAAAATGTGTCACAACATACCATTAATAAAGCATTGTGGTGCTACAAATCATATTCTCCACAAGGAACAAGTTTGGTTGGTACAGAACATAATTTTTTCAGTGAAAGTTTATAGCAAAAATTAGCATCCCCACTATAATTGTGACTCATCACAATCGCAGTATTTGTCAAAATAATTTCAATATGATTTTTTTTTTGCAAATTGTTCAGCCCTAATAGAATATGATTGGATCTTCATCTATGTTAATAAGGAAAATATCAAAAAATACACATAAGCAAATTCAAGAAGCCTGCTGACTTACAAATGCAGGAGAAAACTATTACTTTCCCAGATGAAAACCAATCTATCCCAGAATCACACTGCACCCTGCTACTCAGGTGTAAATGGACAGTCACTGAAAGGAACTGGTGAGTGAAGAGGTGACTGAACCCATTAGAAACACAGAAATGGCCAATATAAATGCAAATTATGTGAAAAGCTTCAACTCCATTCGTTCCATCAATTAAGGGGGATTATAGATTGCTGGACAGCAACCCCACAGATTAATAATCATTGATGAGGGCGGGAAACACAGAAAGCTCTCAGTTGGAAATCATGAGTCGCCCCATTCAACAGAAAATGGTCAGAGGGCATAACAAAGGAAATGTCCTGACAGACAAGTATGCAGGAAAAAACATAATACAAGCAAATTGTCAAGATGAATGAGATATTTTATGCCCAATGGAGGTGTGATGGAGGATGAACAATGAGGTACAAAGAGGATACGGTCGGTGCCCTGGAAGATGACGCTGCCCTTTACCATCTCTCCCATGATACACCCCACTGACCAGATGTCCACTGGAACAGAGGACACGAGCAAACACAAGTACACACACACACACACACACACACACACACACACACACACACACACACACACACACACACACACACACACACACACACACACACACACACACACACACGCACGCACACGCACACACACGGACACACACGGACACACACGGACACAGACACAGACACACACACATGCACACACACGCACGCACAAAAGGTATTAAATAAAAATTATCACATAACATCAACCACATAATATAATGCACACTAAATATACAGTAAAGTGACACATGGAACCTGCACAGATGAGTAACATGCTCCTTGGTTTAAATTTGAACGACAAACATTGATATGCAGAACATCAACTCTCAAAATTTTGATCTATCCTCTAGCGGTGCCATGGCCGAACGCTTTCATCATATTCATCTTCAGGCTGGCTTTCTTTTCTCTCTCTGGCTTGGGAAACCGACTTAGCCTTCCAGGCCTTTCTCCTCGGCTCTGCTTATCAGTTTACACAGCTGTTGCTCTCTCACTTTCCCTGTGAGTTTGTGCGCTTAGCAGAGTAGGATATTGTTCGTTTCTCCCTCTCTCCATCTCTGAGTTGACTGTTTGCTTTAGAGCGTTTATATGCGGCAAATAGCCATTAACTCCTCTATTCCCTTGATTTCGCTATCACTAAAGCTGAAAGCTCTCTGTGCTCTGATAATGGCCACAGATCACTGCAATAGACTTACAGGCAAGTCACACAATGCAAAAATCATAACTTGAAAATTCAAATAGGTTACATTAATCATTGTAGCTATGCTCTTAACTTGGCAAAAGACTTTCCTGTTAGATCAGGGCACAGAAAGAGCTTGATTAGTTCCTTCCCGTTTGTAATCCTACCTCTATGTGATGTTTCATGTTACATGCATCAACTTTTAGTTACACTAGTTCAGAAAAACATGAACAACTTCACTGTATGTCTGACAGAGCAGATCATTTGAAGCATAAATTACTAATTTGACAGCATCCCAATATTTACAGTGGATTTATTGTTGACTTGCATGGCTTTCTGTAGAATATACTCTTGGCTGTGAAATAACTGTAAAAATATTAGTCAAACTACTGTTTCTAAAACCTTTTCTCACACTGCATGTTGTAATGACCTGAAAACTATTCCTGATTTAAAAAAACACAACAACAACAACTATGTCCCCTGAGTGTCTTCGGTCTCCATTTGGAGAAAATAGCTGATAAGCTTAAGGAGACAAACAAGGAAGGATACAGTCTTTTCCAGGAAAGAGGATTTTGTGAGAGATCATTTCAGCCATTATGCAGCCAACCGACCACAGGTCCACTGCAGCAGAGTAGTAGCATAATGAAGACATTCACTGTCACCATCAATGACCAATAAAACCAAATTTGATAAACTAGAGCACGACTGGATCGAAGACTGTGTACTGTAGGCAGGTTTCTAACAAGTGAACAATAAACTCATTCTTGTTAACAGCCTGCACCATCTGTTCGGCTGTGATATGCTTCTTTGCTTGCTCAAGTGCTGCTGTGTACTGTAAACAATCAAGTCTATTGGACAAACAATGTAATCATTATTCTGTTTCGAAATTACCTCACGCTTTCCTCTGCATCATGCTATGTAAAATACATGTTTTGTATACTAGCTGATATAAGATTAAAAATTCAAATGAATGTATGAGAAGCCTGTGTCAAACCATAATGATGGCTCGTTCCACAGTGAACCGCAGCTACTAGGATTTTTGCGATGAAGCTTTGGACAGGGAAGGAAAAACTATCAACAACAAGCTGGTTTTCAAAAAGGTGGACGACTGGCTTAAAGAGAACATGGAGCTCCAGGGAAGTGCCACCTTTGTGTTTAAGCATCTAGAATGTCATTTCCTTCCTGTGAACACATGAAAGTATTACACTAATATATATTGTCATGTTATGCATTTATAGGTGCCAAACTTATCTGTTCAACTACTGTTCTATGACTGCTGCTTGGTTGTCCTGCTCACCATTCTCTTTATACTTCATGCCCAGAATGACCTCTGGGGCACGGTAGTATCTGGTCACCACGTAGGGGGTCATCATGAAGTTAGTGCAGGCCGTCCGTGCCAGGCCAAAGTCCAAGATCTTCAGGGTGCAATCTGACTTCACCACAATATTACTGGGCTTCAGGTCCTGAGGGGACAGAAAATCTGTAAAGCTATAGAAACATACTCAAACAAAAACATTACCTCTGAGGTATTTATGTCTAGACAGACGGTAGCTGGTGAAAGATTAGAAACGACTCCAGCTATTTTGGACAACTGGACCAAAAGGGTTAAATACCTCCACATAGTTCCAAAGCACAAAAGCAATTTTAGAATCAAGGAAATGATCCTCTGCTAATGGAAAACTATGTTAATAAACATATAAGGCTGAATACTTGACTAAATGGCTAATTATCGAGCAAATTCATTCATTGTTGGTTGTGGTTCAATCAGAGAGGGAAGTGAAATACTACTTCTGAGCCTGATACTAAGTCACAGATATTTATGCAGTGTTTAAAAACATTATTGTCTGCCTTATTATCTCCTCTCCCCCCAGCACAATCATTCCTTGTCCTTACCCTATGGATAATGCCAGCAGAGTGTAAGTGTCTGATGCCACAGAGGATCTGGTAGAGCAGATAGGACATCCTCTCGTGGTCCAGGTCCATGTGGATCACCTGGCACAGGCTGGCATCCATCAGCTCCATCACCAGATACCTGAGAGGGCAGGAAGGAATGAAGAACAGTCAAGTATGTATTAAAAATATGACAGAGTGGTGGATTAAAAGGGCAAAACAGACCCACTGAGAAAGAAAAAGTAGTTATAGTATATAAAGACACAGCGGCAAAGGCAAAGAAGTCATTAAAGTAGAGAGAGTATATAAAATGACAGAGCAATAGTGGAGGCTGACGAGTTAATAGAGGGATGCCATTTAAATGGACAAAAACACAAAGAGAAAGGAGGCGCTTCAGCTAAAATCTCTGAATCCTACTGAAAAAGAAACTAAAGAGTAGATTGTTGCAGCCAAAAAACACTGCCACTCACAGATCCTGGAATTCCTCCAGGGACTTCTGAGGCGTGAACACATTGATCAGACGGATGATCTGCAAGCAGAGAGACAGGCCATTAGTCCACTCTGTTACTCTCCCATCTACATCCACTTCACTGTGGAGAGCTAGTCAACTAAGGGGAGAGAACCACGAGGGTTTGTCTGGATTCTCTCACTCTGAGCAGGAAACTTTATCAGCATTGCAGAGAGTGACTGTCTTTGTTTTCTCAAGAGTATTTTTTTTATCATTATTATTTTTTTTAAATAACAGATAATTAACATGATTAAGGTTCTAGCTGCCAATCATTTCCCCCTTCCTACTGCAAATCACATCAGAAGGATACTATTTTTGAACTCAGAATAGATGTGAACATAATTTTAAATTCATTTTAAATTTGACTGCCAGCAGTTTTTACCACCCTGTATAATCTATGTAAGAAAACAGCCTTGAATGACTTATTATGACTCTATTATAATTAAATCATCATTCAGTCTTACATTTTTGTGGTTGACACATTTGAGCAGCACCAACTCCCTGTAGGCACGCTTAGCATGGGTCTGATTCTGGAAGGGCCGACACAGCTTTTTCACAGCTACAGGTATACCGAGGACCGTATCTAGAGCAGAGCTGGTCACACATCGTACAGAGGAGGGAACAGCCAAAGACAAAGGAAGAAAATAAATGCATCTTACAGAACAAAACTTTTTTTTTCATAAGGAAGAGTCTAGTCTATTGCCCTGCTAGCAACGTGAAAATGCTGATCATTGAAAAAAAAGCTGCTATATTTGAACCTTACCATTAGTACAGGCACATTTCATTGCAATGTAGCTATTAGAGCTTGTATCCAAAGCTGGAATTTTGCCTTAGGGTAGAGCTTAGGAAAAGCTGATGAAGTATCCAAAATGGAAAGGGCTCATTGTGAATGTGCTCACGCCGCCTTTAAGGTTTGATATTTCTCGTTAGTGAGCAGAGATCTTGTCTTCATATTGGTGCCAGAGAACAGGTCAGTGGGCTACCATAATATCCACAGCAAATTTCATGATTTAATTTCTTGATACTTTGTTATGGACCAATGTGTTGTTCAAGGGGGAAGTTTTATAGGTTACCCACACCACTGCAAACAATCCTCTAGGGACTATGAATATCAATTTTAGATACAAACACTTTATTCTCACTGTTTGTACAAACTCATGCTGTGCAGCTGAACAAACCCATAGAGCTTTCTTTTAAATTGTGGAAAAATACTAAATATATCAATGTGAATTACAGGGAAATGTGTAAAAAATCATGCACATGACATTTTGTACATTTCTATTCAATGTAATGATGTAGCAATAAAAAGTAAAGAGTGTGGTGTAAGTATTTCGCTCAGTGTAAATATCATGTAGCTTCGATAAAGAACAAGAACAAGCTAATAAAGAATATACTGTATAAGTGATATTATAAGTGTGGCAAGATTATTTTTCAAACCTTGAAGATATTCACAGGATAAATTAAAGGAAACTTGATGTTTAGGGACTAATTGTTATCAAGATATCTTGCTGTGGATTCATGTGATGGACAGAGACAGACAAGGCAACATTGCCATAATAGTTCTTTTCACAGCAGACATTTTAATTTGTGAAGGAAAAGCGCAGTTGTAATTTATTACGTTAGGTTCTATTCAAGTGTCCCAGTAAAGCAGTGTGACAGTGAGCGGGCATTCACTATATTAAGACCCCAACAACACAGGAACTAAAATAATTCAGCCATCAATAATTTTATTATTTACACCTGCGCTTCTCCCTTTACAATGAGTGAACGTGTTGGCTGGGAAAAAGGCCAATAATGACGCACTGCTAGCAGGGCAAAAGTTTGCTTTAATCATGCAGCAAGTGATATATTTGTCTAATTAGAAGAACTGTGTGTATCAACAACACCCTGGGCTGGTGATACAATGAGCAAAATGCTAATAAAAGTACAGCCTCTCACCAGACGATGCCCTGAGCCCCAGAGCCGATTGCACGGAGCTGCTGGTAGCGCTTGAGTACAGTGAAGGTGGAGTCTCCCACCTGAACGCTGTAGAACTGGCCCTCTGCCTCACTCATCCTGCTGAACAGTCAGGACCACCGGCACTGTCTGCAGGAGGTCAACAACACAAACACACACACACACACACACACACACACACACACACACACACACACACACACACAGACAGACAGACAAAAAGAAACAAAAACACAGATAAACACCCAGGCACTGGCAGCTGTAAACACAATCTTTAAATCGTGAGGCAGAATGGTAAACGAGTTACAACATGTTAATAAGCCAGTGTGTAATACAATTATTACATTGTTAAGAAACCGGAACCTTTTTTTTTTAGCTCACTAAATCACTCAAATGATCCTCAGTGAATGGCAGGGCCTAATATGGTTCCATCTGTCAGTCCCTGGCATCTCTCCCCTCATTTTCAGCCCAGTCTACAGCCAACCAATCTATCAACACATTCTGCCCAGTTTGTTCATCTGACAAAGGTAACAGTGAGCTGGAGCTGAAGTCAAGGCTGCAAATGCTTTGGTGAGTGTGTAGTGGAGAACAGAGGCAGCTGACAGCTTGGAGTTCCTAAGGCTCTCACTGCCATCTCCAAACTCATGCTGACACATTCATGCTCAGTAAACACATAACACACACACTCATGCAGACAGCATTAGGCTTGAGCATGCTCATTATTCCTTGATCTGCATCCAGCTTGTGTATACACACAGTGTATACACAGCCATCAGCACATGGTAGTTAAAACATGTTAATAGATATGTTATGTGAACAGTGTTTATAAAAGAATAGCAATATTAGCATTGATTCCTCAGGCAGGAAGTGGAGGAGGAGGATTATTCTTTGCCAGGGTGTGTGTGTGTGTGTGTGTGTGTGTGTGTGTGTGTGTGTACGTGGGCGAGGACACACATTTGTGTAGCTATGCAACAGTCGTGGCTGTTTGTCATTCCTTCAGAAAACAGCCACAGGTCAAATGGAGTCTGATATTTTGGCTTTTTCTGTTTGACAGGAAGCAAGGACACAAGCACTCGTTGGTTGTCATGGTCAGAAAGACAATGTACTAAAAAGACAGAAGCGGCAGGGGGGAGGTTATGATTGATCACAGCTAGAAAAGTCTGTCTCAGCTTTGTCACCATGACAGCATTGAAAAGAAATGCAGTGTGTGAGCAGTGAGCAGCTGTCAGTTGACAGGCTCGACTTGTGTCAGCCTTAAGTCTGAAATGATTAGTGGAGTGACAGAAAATTAACTGTGTTATTGACAATCAATTACACATTTGAGTACACTCAAATGTTGCTTATTATCACATTAAAAATGGTCATATTTAGTGGCTTTTCTTTCTTTCGTATCACAAAAGAATGAACAGCAGGCAATTCTCTTTTAACAAAAGATAAAAACTAGATTTTTTCTCTTAGACAAATACACACACACACACACACACACACACATATTATAACTAAGAGTTAAGTTAAAAATCTGACTTTTTTGCCATTGTAAGTAGTAAATTCATATATTGATACTTTTTAATGTAGTAAAAAGTATCAATATATGAATTGTTAAAGCCTTAATATTTTTTGACCGATGTATCAGTATTGACAAAAAACTTAAAAGTCAATGCACCAATAAACTGTGAACATTTAATGGTGAAATTAGCCTTAAATGTGTAGGAACTTTTGAGTAATTAAGGGAAAACATGTATATTATTTTTGCTCATTCCTGTTCTTTATATATATATCTATATATATGCACTATATAAGGATATAGCAAAGATAGTAATAATGAACTGTCACTATGAAAATGCTTAAATAACAACCTAATAATGTTTATCGTGCAGTGAAGTCTGTCACTTCACTGGCCTCAATAATATTCTTCTTAAAAAATAAATGAAAAAACAATTTAATGAACTCCACATGGTCCCTCATGTCTCTTCTTCAAACACACATATTAGCATATGCTAACCACAAAGACACAAACCCTCCCTCTTACTATCATTCATTCATTTTCATTACAACTACAGTGACTTGTTATTTCATGCATCTCAGTGAAGTATTTCCCGCTGTGCTTTTACGTATGTCCTCATTTGATTGTGATTTCAAATCTCGGGGTCTCTGCTTGTCATCTTGTTTATTTCCTCTGTTGGCTTATTCTGAATTGTTTGTTTCCTTTCTTACCCAGGTTTTTTTCTTTTTTATCTTATCTTGCTTGAACATGCCATATTTTCTCTTTTGGGTGTGGGTCTGCAACTGCACCATTATTCAGATGAAAAATGAATCCTTCTCATCACTACTTTATTCCTATGCCTTTTTCTCCTTCTCACATGCACATCCAGCTGGCTCCCTCTCACTACACCCAAGGGGAGAGCTGCAAAGACCTTTACTTTCTTCATGCTTCTCTCACTCTTTCCATTTTCCTTGGCTTTGTCTTTCTTTGTCATTCTTTTATGCTCCTGACATTCCCTCACTCCTGTGCCCTTTTCTGGTTTTCTCCCATCTTCCCTGTGGCCTATTCAAAGAGATACCAACTAAAGGACTGAACTGTACTGACAGTTATATTTTTGATGAATATTATGATTATGACATGCAGGCAGAGCTTTCCCCACTTGATTACATAAACCTCTAAAATACAGGTGCAGAGGAAACCAGAGGTGCTGGCTGTGGTAAATTAGAGTGTAAGTTTTCTTTGAAATGCAGCGTGGATTCTAGGCCACATATTTAACTCAGCACATGAACACCTTGTGCAACAAATATCCAGCAAACCCTCTGACAAAAATATAGACTCTTATCGTTTCATTTTTTTTTTACCTAAACATCTGTTGCACTGATTCACAGAACACACATCAAGCTAAATAACACTATGAGGGGGTCATTAATCATAAACAAAACCCATTCCAGCAACAACAAGCACAGCATATGTACAATCTTTCACTTGCTGTCAAGCTAGGGGTGACTATAGGCTAAATGTACACTTGACTCAGCACAAATATACAAACACTGACAGGGAACAACTGAAGTGAAATGAAAATTGCGTGCAAGCTCAGAAATCAGCCCGACACATGAGCAGACACCTGTTATAGTTCTGGCCGGCAGGCACTGAGGAAAACCACAAACCAAATGTTACAACTCTCAGACAATTAATTGTTTAATAATGGTGATCAGGATTTTTGCTTTCCTTACGTATGCCAGATCAGTCACAACAAAAAAACTGCCCAGTAAACTGCCAGTTTATAAGGCACAACGGCCTCATGATCACAAACATTTCCTTAGAGAACGCTGCGATTATCTCTGCTTCCCAAACATCATTAAGGCTGCATGCTAGAGCACTTTCACTACAAAGACAACCTGCCAGTGTAATGTAACTGTGTTTCCTATGTAGAGCTGGTTGCTTTTCTTTGGGAATATCATTGATCCAGTTTCATTTATATTTAACTACAGACATAGACTGTAGTTTTGATCATATATATATATATATATATATTATAATATATATTATAATATATATATATATTATAAAATAAATAAGACATATAAAAATAATCTGAGAGTCTAAAATAAATTAAATTTATTAAGCAACCACTTTTTTTTTCCAAAGCAGATTTCCCCATACACAGACCTGGAAGCCATATGGGGGCCAGTGCACTTGCTCAAAGACACTTAAACATGTGGACAGGCGGCTACAGTTGCGCCAGTATGAACCAAAACAATTGCATTATATTTGCCCCAATTGTGCAGCCCCAAATCCATTTCATAATATTTATTTAATGCAAAATGAAGTCCTTAGTTTCAGTAAGTTTTAGGGAACTGAGATTGGTGTTTAACATGTGCAACATGTTCCATCATAAAAATATCAAACAGATATACACTGGCAAATGGCTAAACTGTCAGAAAACAGAATAGTTAAAGAGGCTGTGCTTAATTTATTGCAGTACTAATTCTGTGTCACAAAAGAAATATGAATGAAAAGATGAGAAGCAAGTACATTGTACCCCTATCCTTGTCTTGTCTTATCTTATTCCATCATTTTATTAAAATATGATTTTGTATTGAATGAGTTGATAAAAGAAGTGACCTTCACACAAACATCCTCAACCCCAAGCACATCATCATGGTGACTGTCCAGATCAGTCCAGTCCAGCCCTTGGGTCTGTCATGGCTGTTGCTCTCAGCTGGGAGCTGGATGGGAGTCAGTGAGCTGGCTATGATATCAGATTAGCATGGCCTGGAGACTCAGCATCTCACCCTGATGTAGCAGAGTTACAAAACACACAGCAAGGGCGGGTAAAACTACATGTATGCTGCTGCTGCTGCACTAGAGATCTCTGTTGAGGCTGCAAGACCAGTCTCTTAAAGAGGATGAGGGATGTTAAAGATGTGTTAATGGGAAATGATTCCAGTACCACTATAGACACTCCTGGTATCATTTCATGTGTGTACCGTATGTATATGTATGATCCAACTGTGCATGTCCTCTGACACAACCTATGCCAATCTGTTTATGCTTTGACATGCTTCAGACTTTAGCCATGACAGATTAAAGCCGTGTACACATGACGTCTGATCTGACGACAAGCTGAAACTTGCCCCTGACATACCATTCCACATAAACTAGATGGAGGTGAAATATAGCACTAGCTTTCAAACATCTACATCTGCGTTAGTGGTAACTGGTATTGAAAACCACAGCACACTCGGCCTACAAAAATATCATTCAATTGGCTAAATGTATATCAGCGATCAGCGGGGGTCTATGGGTATGGTACGTAAACTGGCAATCCTATGATGTGACGTGGGTGTAAAACGGACATTTTTTTTTTTAAATTTCCACACGCCGCATGTCTACTATAAAATACACACAGACACACTCACTCAGAGGTATGAAGTCACCCGTGTATGACACACCGCGGCCGCAGCACCGCTGGCACACGGTGGCTTAACACAGTCAGAAATCATCGGTTCACACAACTGAAGTCACACTAACATACACGTCGGTTAAATTCACCTCGCCTTTGGGAGGTTACAAAGTTAACGAGGCCTACTCTCCCCGTCTTTTTCACTTGAGTCGGCAGCAATGCGGTAGTCAGGCCGGGGCTGAACTGAGAGCTCGGACGGACCAACGGACGGCAGAGGAGGAGGCAGAGGAGGAGGCAGCGGCAGGAGCAGCAGCAGCAGCGACACTTACCTTCTCCCTTCGCTGTCCCCAGGGCACTCCCATGCATCTAAAACACAGATAAAACACTCTCTCCGTGTTCCAGGCACAACCGAGACTTGGAAAAGTTTAGGAGAACGGCCCACCGGGCTGTCACGACAGAGACCTGACTCCGGTTCCTAGCTAACTCCAGCGGCAGCGCGGAGGGACGGGTGCGGAGGAAGGCAACGCCACAACAAGCAGAGAGCGAGCATGCGGATGACGTCATCACGCACATTATACGTGGGCGCAAACTTTTTTTTTTTCCACGAAAACTTTGGAAAAACTTTTTGTCCTGATTCTTAACGATTTTAATATCGGTATATAAGATTAGTGGCGGTAGAAGTAGTCAGATTCTTTAATGAAGTAAATAAATAAATGATCAATTTCGAAAAGCCCTGCACTGGAAATACACAAAATGGCAACTTAAAAGTATCAAAAGTATTTACACATGCAGCAGAATGACCTCAGTGCTTATGCTACACCTATGAAATTATTATTACCGATTCATATTTCCTTTTTATTTATATTTACTTGAGTAAAAGTGGTGGCCTAATGCCACTCAGTAAAATACTGCATTAGAAATAAAAGATGCATTGCAGATTGCATTCAAAATGATAGTTCAGTAAAAGTAGCCTATGTAAGTATAATCAAGAAAATGTACTTAAAGTATCATAGGTAAAAGTAGGTTACTCAATGCAGAAAAATGTCCCCGGCCATTTCTTTCTTCTGATTTGTACAAATATTCGGTTTGCAAAAATGAGGAGGAATCCTGAAAAATGCTGTCACAATTACCCAGAGACTAGAGATGAATATTTTGTCAGTTGGCTCCATTTATGTATGTGATATTGCTTATCATCCATAAACGTTTATAAATATTCTCATATGCTCATAATGATAATATAGTAGAAGCACAAACTGGTGCTAGACTGGCCATGCAGGCTCATACCACAGTCTTGTAAAAAAATTTTTTTAAAAAGTCAATGAAAGACAGAGCAACTTTTAGTTTTATACAGAAAATAGAATCAAAATCTAATAGTACTTACTACAACAAACACTGCAGGTAAAGAGAAATTAGAGAGGATAACACACTTTGGATAGAATGCTTTATCTATTTATTAATTGATAGTGCCTGTTTATGTCTATAAAACATACATATAAAATAGGACCATAGTTACAGATATAAATCAAACCCTCTCTTTAGCCCCTATAAAACAAGAATCAGATAAATACAGAATATTATTATTACTATAAACCCATACAAATAACCATCAAAACAAAAGTATTATTAAATGTTACGGTACTTCATTTTTTGCTGCCTGACTGCTTTTTAAATAATTTCTTTGTATGACTATATGGAACTGCTAAAGACAGTCTGGAAAAAGGTACATGTTCTACCACCGACTTTGGAAACTGCAATTCTGTTAAACAGAATAGACATTCAATATATTTTGAATTAAAATTTAACAATGAAGTGATTTCTGGCAGCTTCCGCTAAAAATTATTGGAGTTATGGTTTAATAGCCCACCAGGCACAGTCATTGCATGAGTGTAAAATGAAATATACTGTTGCCCATAAAGTTGGAATAATTTCGTTTTCAGACACAATCCTCTGTTTATTCCTATTTAAATACATCAGTAATCACTTTGGAAGAGATTAACTACTAAAGTTTTGAGAAGATATACACTTTATCTGTCAAGAATAAATCACATTGTCACAATCATTTCATGGAAAGAGGTAAAAAATATTTTATTCCAACCTTATGAGCAACAGTGTATATAAAATCAGATTGTCATAACCCGGATGACTCTCTGAAATAAAACTGTGTAATTCCTACATTTCCCATTGTGCAACAGAGAGGCAAGAAGCTCCCCAATGGATATAAGAAATTCATAAAACAGGAAGAGAATGAATCATCTCATTCGTGATTGTGTAGCCTACATTCATAATGCACATTTGGTCCCCATATTGCACAACTGTAAACACTTAATATCAATGTTTTTCTGCTGTGTTCCTTCTGTGTGTCTTTGGCTCAAGGTGAGATTAGAAAAAGGCACAGCATATTGCTTTGGATGAATGTTGCTTTCATAGATTGTTCCGCAAGGCCTCAATGGCACTGGCACTTCCTCAGCAGTGTATTGGTCAGACTTCACATTTCTCTTTTAAAAAAAAAAGGCATTGTACCGTATACCATCCTCTTTCATCTGTCACACTCACTCTGTCATTCACACTCTCATCCACACACACACTAACACAGACCCCTCCAGACACAATATCACATAGACATAAACATACACAAACATACTGAACGTTCAATTGCACGATTGCACTGTAAATCTACAAGCCTCCTCTCTGATGCTTTGTGAGCTGCATTTATTCTACAGTCACAGACTTGGCCAAGTTTCTGGGACAGTCAACCTGCAAAAAGATAAAGCAGTGTGTTATAGCAAATCACATGTGATCAGTGACTGTGGCTGTGCTGTGCATGTTTAACAAATCACATCATATTAAGGTGGGTGATTTTTAACAATAACACTCTGGCATGATATGGATTTGGCTATAGACGTTACACCACATAAAGTGCAGTTATTGTATGATAACCAAGGAACATAAGCTTCCCTTTTAGACTAAAACAAGTGCACATTTACAGTCTAACAAAGAGCGGGTAGAAAAATGTTCCTACAGAGACAGAACCACATAGCTGTCATGGTGGTCTGAAAATAAAAACCACAACTGCCATGACTATGTCTGGAAAAACACAGTGGCTGTCCAAATTGGTGAGAGAGATGTCTTTTAAGGCAAATATTTGATATTTTTTATATATATTGATATTTGTTTTGCCATATGCAAACTATAATGCAACTAAAAGAGTTTGAATTATATCAGCATAAGATGTTTTACAATATATGTCCACTTAATTTCTTATATCTGTTTTGCCTTAGTGTTGGGTGTGGTAAAGATGAACACAATTAATATGGCTACAACTATCATAGTAGAATATCATTTCATAGCATAATATTGATAAGTGTATATGACATATCAGCGTGTATAATATACACTGAGCTCATGAAAATCACATGATAGATGGGTCAATACAGTCAGTCAAGTCAAGCAGTTACAGTGCTTTAATAAAATGTAACCACTGATATGTGCAGTATTTAGATGCTAGTTATGAAGCACTGTATCTCACAGTCACACATCTCACTGATTTTGTGGTAGATAAAAAGCACTCAACTACTGTATTACTTAAAACAAATGTTAAAGCAAAACTACTTGAAGTTAAAAAGTACATTGAGAATTTTCATAGATGGACCGAGTGAAAACTGTGTCGGGTACTTACGTCAAATCCTCTCAGGACGGCCAAGTGGAACGACAGGAGCTGCAGGGGGATGACAGTGAGGATGCCCTGCAGACAGTCCACAGTATGTGGCAGCTCGATGGTCTGGTAGGCATTCTTAGTCACCTCAGGGTCGTCCTGGCAACACAGGATGATGGGCCGACCCTGGTGGCAAGAACATTAACATCGTCATTAACAACATCAGTCAATTTAATGTCATCATTTATGATGGATTTGAGTAGTTTGTGACCTGACCAAAAGAATATACTGTGTGGTGCGTGTTTGTCTGTGTGTGTGTGTGTGTGTGTGTGTGTGTGTGTGTGTGTGCATTGTGCCTTACTGTACCTCTTATTAAAGTCATTTCCAATGAAATACATGACTGTTCTATATTAAGAAGATTATTGAAATAATGATTGGGCTCTTTGCTCTTTGTACTTATTGCATCACACCTTCATGACTCCTACAAAATGGGTGACTTTTTAGTCTACTATTGCTCCCCAGTTATAATGTTTGTTTAAATGTGCCTGCAGGTCTATTAAAATGTGTTTTTCCAGGACCTACCGATCTGGCAGTGACTTGCTGCAGAGCATTCTGGCACTTAATGTAGCAGGCGTCTCTCATGACGATCATGATGACCGGCATGTTTTTGTCAATGAGTGCCAGGGGACCGTGTTTCAGCTCCCCAGCCAGGATGCCTTCTGAGTGCATGTACGTGATCTCCTTGATTTTCTGCATTGGAATAAAAAAGGGTCAAATGTGTTTTACTCTTTCCTCACATTTTATGAACTAGGACAGTGAATTGCAGTTTTCTGAAAGACCACTGTGGCATTCTCAACTCACCAGCGCCCCCTCTAGACAGGTGGCATAGTTGTAACCTCGGCCCATGACCAGGAGGGACCTTTGCTCATACATCTCATTGGCAATAGCCTTGATCTTCTCATCCAGAGACAACACTTTCTTTATCAGCTCTAGGAGTTTCGAAAAAGAATGAGTTGAGGTGAAGGTCTTAGGGCAGAAGTATAAGTGTACAGGTATTACACAGATGATGCAGTATTTTTTTTATGTGGTTGCATCTGTCTGTCTACATTTAAAGATGCTATGTGATCACGCTGGGGCCACTTTGTGTTTGTGATGTATTTGTGTTTGTTGGAGCACTAACCAGGTAGCACCTTGAGGCCGTTGATGATCTCCAGTCTTCTCTTCTGCAGGGAGAGCCTGTCCTCACTCATCATCAGGCCAAACATAATGAGGGCCACAAACTGACTGGTGTAGGCCTGTGTCACACACACACACACACACACACACACACAATAAACACCAACATATATCCTGTGCTGACCGGTGCGGCAGGAAGATGAGCCTATCTAGCAAATAACACAGTTCTGTGTTGTCATGCAGCCTTTAACAAGGAGAATTGTATCATCAAATTGAATACAACGTTGTGGTAATACATGCTTATATCAAGTATAAAAAATGTGTCTGTTTTACAATTTGCTGTTGCCACATTCTGAAAAGGGTCTTTTGTAAAACTATTAGATGTAGAGTATAAACTGTACCTTGGTGCTAGCCACTCCTATCTCAGGCCCAGCATTTATGTGGACTCCGCACGTTGTTTCTCTACAAATGGAGCTGCCCACAGTGTTGGTTATACCGACTGTCAGAGCACCATGGTCCTTGCAGTAGCGCAGTGCCATCAAGGTGTCTGCTGTCTCTCCTGAGGGAGCAGAGGGAATAAAAATTATACTCACTATGCAGAATTACAGCACAATGAGGCCACAGTCGGAGGAGAAATTCAAAAGAGGATGGTATTGGTGGTATATCAGGTTTCACCCAAGATGTGACAATGTGAAGCAAGTTCTTCTGTAAAGTCAGTTTCCTGGTCAGAATTGTGTTGTCTGATAGAGTGTGTGTTACCGTCACCTGACTGACTGATGAAGAAGCAAACATCATCTCTGAAAACAGGGGTGTTGCGGTCCAGGAAGTCGCTTGCCAGCTCCACCATGACGGGCAGCTCCGTCAGCTCCTCAAGGATCTGTCTGGTCTAAAAAGTGGGAAAAAACAAAATCATCATCGTCACCACTCACAATACAAAGAGTAATTTCATGTTTTCATGTGTTTTGAACTTTATTTTTTTACTAATCGTTGCTGTCTTCCTCACAAAACCATCATCATCATTCTTATTCTAATTTCTGACAGCTGTACTCACAGCCACTGCAGCGTGGAAGCTAGTGCCACAGCCAATCACGATTAGCCGTCTGCAGCGTTTGATTTCTTTCAGGTGGTCCTTGAGTCCACCGAGAACCACTGAGGAAACAGGAGGTAAGACAGTTAGATTATACTGTTGACTTAATGCATGTTAGTCATCAGAAATAGATACTGCACACATTTTAAACAAATTTACCAAGGCACAGCCACGTAATCTAGGATGTATACTCTACAATTAACAGGTGGTACATATTGAGGAAGTACGTCATGCACCTACAGTTTGATTGTCTGAGATCATTCCACGTGTACATATTGCACTAATGCTAATGGTGGTTATTCTGTTATGAAGGTGAAAGATATGGGTGACAGCATATGGTGCTTCAGCAAAGTGTAAATAAATGTCTTAGTAATTTAGTGTAGTTTGTCTTTCAAAATTCCAAGTTCAAACAGACAATGGTGGGACGGACTATAAACAAAGAGCAGATCCTTGTGTGCGTAGCCTGAATTAGTCCCTGCTAATATTGATTCAAGGGATCAGGGAGCCGCACATGCACCCTACATATCCTTAAACTTTGAAGGTAGGACAGGTTATAAGGTCAATGGTCACCTGTGTTATTTTCAAAAAAAATCCGGCCTCTCATAGTGTTGACCACTGACTCCGGCTGCTCAAAGATCTCCTTCTGCATGAAGGCATCAAAGTTACCTGCAGAGAAAGGGGGCATATATGTACATCATATTAACTGGTAAACTGAAAGAGGCTGGAAAATTAACAGTGTTATATTTTCACTTATTCAGCCAGCAGAGGGCGAGCCAGCACAAGTCTGCAGAATAGATTTGTGTAAAAATACTAGCATGCTGAATGTAGATATTGTTGGTGTGCTCATATATGTTTTAATAATTTCCTTTTAAGATAAACTGCCTGTGTAAACAAAACAAAAATGAAAGCAATGAATTGTCCTCATATCCAACAGATACCATAAACAGTCTTTTGATGATCATCTGACCTTTCATGATCTGTTGCAGCTCCATCTGCAGGGTCTGGATCGCCCTGATGGGGTTCTCACCGGCCTGCCGGTTCACCCTGTGGATGGAGAGTTTTCCCCCGGTGACCACCGCGATGTCATCATCCTCCATGTACAACACCTTGTTGGTGTGCTCAATGATGGCACTGTGGGTAGAGAGAGCAGACAGATACATGTGTGATGAACTCATGATGATGTGCACTTCTTGGTTGATGTTTGCAAATGGTACAAAACAAATGTTTTGATTCTTTTTTGAAAGACATGGTAGCAACAGAGAAGGAAGGGGTGGATGAGTGTGTGAGTGTAATAGAATGACAAATAAGAATTCAATGATACGAGCCCATATTAGATTCAGAACAAAACACACAGACAAATGGTTTCTCACCTGGCATCAGAGGCAAAGTAATACTCCACAGCCTTGTCATCCCCCACAGAATTGATGGCGTTGGCGTTGGAGCAGTCAGGACGGTTATGGCTGTTCTTCTCCTGGAGTCCCTCCTTTGGGTGACCTACAGGGTCAAAAGTGAGAGGTCAAGGGTCAGAGGTCGCACAGCGACTTTGAATGACTAAAACAATCAAGATGTGCTCATCACTTGAATTCCTCCTCTCAACTTCAAGATGTAGTAGGGTCCCTGCTGTCGAAATGCTTTTGTCCTGTGTGAAATTGTATTTTGATGGTAAAAATCTGGAAACTTTTTATATGGAACATTCAACCAAACAGATCACAAATAAACGTTCAAAACGCTTTCTATTAACAAACAAGCTCTCTTGAGTTTACAATAACACTGGCATGACACAAAACCAAACATCATCTAATTTGGTAAGTTTGCTCTGTTGTTTATGACAACAAAAAGGATGTATGATGATAGATATTTTCGTCTGTATATGAAATGTGGGAAAAATGAGGGACTAACAGAGTTGAAAGAATTTTTTTCAGTCTTTACAATAACACACTCAGTTTGGTTTCCCCCAGCCCCCAAACAGCCTCACGCTGCTTTGGACTTTGGTCTGGACTCACCTGAGTCATTAAGACCCATAAATTTTAAGTAAACTGACTGAAGATAGTGAAGACAAAGCTCTACACACAGTGGAAACGGAGAAGCAACAAAATGACTTCATTGCAACAAGAGTATTTTAAACAATTAAAAAGTCCCTCCCTCTTGAACCCTTTTGTCTGCTGGGAATTCTGGGATTGGGAACCATATTCTTCCAAGGAAGTATTTGAATGTCCACATCACTACTTTTTAAAACTACACACTAAAGTCCCTTGCAACACCTCGGAAAAATGGCCTTCTAAGAAAGTTTTTTCAAAGAATAATTGCGCAATAAAAAACAGAGCCACACAACATCTTGCATTACTTCCACAGTTAGCCAAGAGAATAATTTTGACAGAGTCAGTATGGATTTGTTTTAGTGTATCTGAGAAAATCAATAGAGCAATATTACACAGTGATCCAGTAAGAAAACGAAGAGAAAACGCTCCCTTGATTGGACACGTTTAAAGCTACTGCTCTGTATTTATTTAAGGTTTAGTGGGAGAGGCCTCTGAAGATTTGAGGAGTTGTGGTGAAGTCTGACTGCAAAATGGGAGTTTTTAACTTCTTGCTTCTTGAGTATCTTGCTGAATTAGTGTTACAAGTTGTGCCAGTAATGAAAAGATCAAAACCAACAATGACTTAATCTTAAAGAAGTATTCCCATGTAAACAAAGCCTGATATAGCTTACACCTCCATTGTTGACCAAAAGCTATTAAAAAAAAACACTCCAATAAACCACACCGTAGCACTGGGTGACACAGGCACTGTAGTGTATTTAGAGTCAATCCCATATTCACCATACTGCGGCTGTAGATACTCACTAGAGCACCGTATCAGTGGCTAAAATAGTCCCCCACAAATATTTATTTCTGTGTCAGTTTGCTCAAAACAACAGTGACTAACCGCTTTAAGAAATGATTTAGTCTTTTTTCAAATTAAAGTATACACTCATAACCCATTTGCAATGAATGAACGGGTTTGGGACTGAGAGCTTTAGACTGAGAGGTTTTGGAAGTCAAAAAATGTTTTTACAGGTTAATGCATTGTTGATTCTGGTCCTCGCCTGCTTCATCCTCTTAGGATGTGTTTAAAAGTAGTTTTAGAAAGGTCATAACACACAATGTAAAGATGGAACTGATCATAACTGACTTCTTTAATAGTATGAAACAGAGTCCTCAAACACAAACACAATTATTGCAGCGTTTCATAACTTCCTGACAGGGTGGTCAGTCAAGATCTAAAATGCACATACAATTTCTTCATCTACTTTTTACAATACTTTTGTGCTGTGTTATAACAAAGCAAACAGCTCCTTATGTCAAATTTCATATTTTTGCAAATTGCATATTTATTTGACCAGTAAAACTGTTATAGTTGGAGTATCAGACAGAAAGAGGAACAGAGCTCACCGCTGTTGTACTGGATGGGGATCTGTTCGGTTGGCAGCTCATGCTCACTTCGCACACCAATAAGCAATGGACTTCCTCTCCTGCCGGGACAAGAATGAAGCAGGTAGGGAGGAAGAGACGGAAGGCAGGGGGGAGAGGTGGGAGAGAGTGTGGGTAAAGCGGGAGGAAGGAGAGGATTAGGTTTGGTAGATGCACAGCTATGTCAGATACACACTGTCATGTGATGCTTTGTGTAAATATGAATGATGAGACAACCTGACATCCTATCCTGCTGTATTATTCCAAACAAATCACTACTGGTACTCTTTATGATCCTCCTTTATCTCTTTCTATTCATAAATATTTCTATTACCCTTTATTACCTCAAATTCTATAATTGTAAAATTAATTTTACACAATTTTGTACTTAATCCTGTTGAGTGTGCCCCTGCACAGACAGGAGCTCAGATATCCTCACACCTATTCCAAGTCTCTTCTAAACCTTTTAATCGTGAACATTTGGCAGGCAAACTGATCCTCCCTTCATCTACATCCCCTACGATTTCCTCACAGATCCTGGACTGAGTCACTGCTTCCTCATTCGCTACTGATTCCACACGGACTTCCCCTACTGGACGTGTAGGTGCAAGCACATGTAGATTTGACAGCGGGGTGTGTGAGGAGACTAACCTTAAAATAGATGAAGTCATTAAATCACTTATCCTTTGACAACATCACAAACAGTATAGCAAAACAAAAATTATTGTGACACCAACACTTGAGAAACTGAGGGCCTCTCCTTTTTTTTCTTTTCTTTCTCTGTCTGGATCCCTTCTTCCTCTCTGGGGCACGGCTACACTGACGTAAGAGCGCTGGTTGTTTTAAGGGGTGTGGGGCTGAAAAAGGGAGGCTTGCAAACAGAAACATGTGGTCGCTATCCAATACAATATTTACCCTGAGGGAGGGAGAGATGAGAAGAAGGGATGAAAGAAAAGTAAGAGTAAGTAAGAGAAGGACCAGGTGGTGGAAAGAGAAGGAAGAGGGGAGAACAGCAGAATGTGAAACATGAAAAGTAAAAGAAGCTGAGGAAAAGAGAGTAAAAGTCGTTCTGGGAGGTTGATCCTTGACGACAAAGGGTGGGTGCCGACAAGCATCACTAGATAATTACAAACATTCCTCCATCCCTACATCCTGGAAGACAATGCTGACTGTTCAACATATTAACCACAAACCTACATTGAGTTTAGCTGAGTAATAGAGATATCAACTTCCTTAGAAAACAACAGGCACACAATAGACAACTGATACACAAAGTTTCCTGGCCTTAAAAGAGGGTGTGCCAAGAAGCAGCCTTTCTAACACCGGCACTGCCAGGCAACCTGTCTGCTTATCTGGCTTTATTTTGTTGCCCATCTGCCCTTGTCCTTTTTCTCTCTCTCTCTCTCTCTCTCTCTCTCTCTCTCTCTCTCTCTCTCACTCCCGTGCTCCAGCAATCTCCCATTTTTCCTGATCCATGACGGCTCACTGAACCAGGAAAGGTATAAAGTCAAATAAAATGATGAGAAGTGATTAACCAGGAGTCTTGCTGGCAGCTGCACTTCCCGGAGCTGAAACAGGAAACTCTCTCGTCTCTCTGTTAATGAGTCACAGAGAAGGAGGTGTAGGGCCGGCAGCCCAGAGGCCAGAGGCCCAGGAGGGAGAGAGGGAACCTGAATTCAACCTCTGCTCCTCCCTTTGCCTGCGTCTTAAGACGCAGATAGGACTGATATGTGCAGCCAGACAGGAATTTACACACATTCGCACACGTACATGGGAAAACAGCACAATTATTCATTATCGTAAGCAAAGCAGGTCCCAGAGTCATAACATGTCAAATGTAATGGATGTAAACTGAGATTAAGGCGCAATCAATGAGTCTCCTGAAATCATATTTGGTATTGCTTCACAGTGGTTGTAACTTGGATGAGTCACTTCCATTGAGTCTCGGATAACAGCAAAGATATTGGACCATAATATGAAGTGGAATGCCAGTGTGTGTGTGTGTGTCAGTGCGTGTGTGTTTGAGTGTGTATACTAACCTGGTGGACACAGCCTCTCCAGGGAAATGACGGCTTTTAAACACCAGAGCAAAAGCCCCCTCCTGAGACAGAGAGAAGCAGAGGAAACACAGAGTTTACATTAACCTGATGGAAGAGTGAAAATACATCAAGGCTAAATGAGGCTGTGAGGAAAGAGGAGGAAAACTCGTTCAAAATATAAAAATTTAAACGTAAAAGGTAAAGTAACCCGTGTATTCCTAGAATGTGTGTGTGTAACCTTTAAGAGAAACATTTTCTGAACACAAGCAAATGTTTCTTTTAGCCCTGTGGGGCTTGGTAGCTGTAGTGGGGGCGTGAGCGAGTGTTGGGAAGTAGTGGGGTATTGGTGGTGGTGGTGGTGGTGGGGGGGTTAAGAGAAATAAGACCTCTATTGTATAACGTCAGCTGTATTTCGAAAGTACTGAGTGCAATGCTGCCTGTGGTGGTTACTAGAAGCAGAACTGGGTGTGTGTTTGTGTGTGTGGTGTTGGGGGGTGGGGGTGGGGGGTGGGACAGGAGACAAGGGGAGGGTGTCATGGTTGTGAGGCTGTAATTGGGTCTAACTATCTGGTTCCCATTACTCCAAACCCAAAATGGCTGCTTTTGCCTCCTCTGTTCATGTGAACAGAAACAACTCACCCCGGCTGAAGAGTGTGAAGCTTTGGAGCATGAAAGTCACATAATGGAAAAGGGAGGCTCGCTCCATCCCACTCAAAAAAAAATATATTGGTTTCTACGGGTGATGATGTCACTTGTGATGCTGTTAGGATGGTTGCCATGGGGACTGTTTTTGTGATGGTGTACTGTGTTTTACAGGACAGGGAATTTAAGGAGTTGCTTAAATGAATGCATGTGTATGTGTGTCTGTGTGTGTGTGTATGACCAGTCAATGACACATTTTATGACACTAAGCTAAATGATGCTGCCCTTCATAGTTACCAGGAAGCTAGTTATAAAAATTTCCATCTCCTAGCAGAGGGCTGAAGCAAAAAGAAAAGAAGAAAAAAAAGCTGTGTTGTGTCTCCCTGATGGCGGAAAAAATAGAAGTGAATACCTAACTTCTTATAGTATTTCTGGAAAAGGAAGCTAAGTATCACAATCCCCCCTTGTGCTGCCATAAAGCATGTTTTTGTGTGTTGTTGCATTGTGTGAGCTAATCACCAGCTGCTGAATGACTCTCTCGACCAGCGTGGAGAAGGTGATGCTGTCACTCTCTCGGTTGTCGTAAATGTATTTGATCAATTTCGGGATCACCTCTGTGTCCGTCTCTGACTCAAATTCATATCCTTTTGTGATCTGAGAAAGGTAAGAGATACATTTTATATTAGTATAAACACACTGGGGAGGTACTGGCTGAAATAATAATTTTCAAATCTTCAAGTTAACAGATTGGAGAAAATTTATGAAATTATGTTCAAACTACAGAAAAATGTGCTAAGCATCCAATGTGTCTCTTATCATTGTGGTGTTTTCTTTATATATATATCAGATATTAATCTTCCAGATACATTAATATGATTCATTTTTCAGACAGTCCTTTGCCTGCAGTGGTTACCTATGCAGTGGACAGGCTGACTTATAAAACAAACCCAGCTAAATATAATCAAATGGTACAGCCAGAAAGTTGCATTTGTCTAACCTTTGGCTAGTGTTGGATTTGGGTCTCTGACCACTGGCCTAAAAGCAACATGACATACATTGCCATATTATAAGATATATTTTATTAAGTCCCTTTAATGGTAATACTAGCTTTAACCTGAATGGCAGGCCCAAGAATGGCACTGGACTGTAACTTAGGTGTTTGTACAACATGAATTCCCAATGACAGGATGTCTTACCAGGTACTTCTTCAGCTCTTTGTAGTTGGTGATGATGCCATTATGGATGACAACAAACTCTGAAAAAAGGCAGTGAGAGAGAAAAGATTAGATCAAGGGGTCAAAGGTCAAAAACTAGTCCTAGTGAAATCACAATAAAACCTCTCTCCTGATGATACTCATTTACATTTACACTCTAATAGCATTTTAATGTTGTCCAAGGACTAAACTAATGGTAGATCAATAACTGACTCATGTACAGAACCTGACAATAATACACTTAATGGTATGGCAGGTCTAACAGGTTGTTGTTATTCAAAGGATGTGACTTGAACTGAAGAAAATGTACGTAGATGTATAAGTGGATTTACAAGCAACTCGGATGACGCAAATACAATATTACCACAATGACGTGGAAGAGCACGACAACTGAAGAGGTTACAAAGAAACAAAGTGATACGTTATCTTAGTAATAACCAAATAATAATAGGCCAAAACTAAAGATAATAAACTACCCATAAATCAATACAAATGTTACTTGGTTTTGCAGTTTTTCTCCATGTGATATGGACTTATACACTTTGGACTTTATGAGCCTGGTTTAAAGCCAAGATACAATACTGACACACCTTTGAACATGGCACACTACTGACTAAGATGTCAGGTATACAGGCATAAAGCATCCTAACCTTGCAATGTAATGCTAATAAGCTATTATTAAACGCTTTACACAGAGACGGTTAAGAAGACCCCTTGTTAAGTTGGCTTTTCTTGTTGACACTGAACCAAACCAATGAAAGTGTGTCAGCATGCATATAAGTACATCAGCACATATTACCATTATCCTTGTCAGAGCGATGAGGGTGACTATTGACAGCACTCGGCTCTCCATGTGTGGCCCAACGAGTGTGAGCGAGGCCAAAGTGTGTGCACAGCTGCGCGTCCAGATCCAGTATGTCTTTCTCTGAACAAGGGAAACACAACACCACTACTTTTACTGATATGAACAGACTGCAGGGAATTTTAAAGACAAAAAAATGTGAAATGTTCAGAGAAGCAGGGCAGAGGTGATTTTAAGTTTTGGAGAATTTCTTCCAAATGTTTGGATGAGGTCAGAATAAGGGGAAAACAGAAGATGGTGTGATTGTGAAATAATCATAACAACTACACTTAGCATGCTGGTATACAGGTTAGACACCCACTAAAACCAAGTCACTATCACATCTCATTTAAAAAAAAAAATTGTAATCTTAGTGATAATATCGTAGTTTTAATACTGATCAACAAACATAAAAACGTATTTAACTTCACAGTTGATATAAAAAAAAAAATCGGTCATAAAAATATATAGTGAATTGTGTATAAACCCACTGTATAGCTCCTCATCCAGAGCCTTGACCTTCCCCTTCTTCTTGATCAAGCAGATGGTGTTTCCATTGATGTCAGAGGTCACCTTGTTAGGGCCATCCACAGCGATACCTGCAGAGAGACAAAGGACAGAAGAGTTAAATACATACTTTCATAGTGTCACACAGAATGGCGCTAAACGCACAACTGTTACAAATTCATTGTCTTAAATGTATTAGTGATGGGAGGTCAATTTCAACTCTTCACCAAGACAGAATGTTTGGGACCATCAATTATGAAAAGACAGGTAAAGGTATAAATATTATTTGAGGTGATCAAAATGACTTGTCATTGAATGCATTAATATCTGATGTGGTATTTATTTTGTGTGAGTGTGTGTCTTTCTCTGATTGTGTGGATAAATTTTGGTTGGAAACCATCCTTGTGAGGACATTATGGCTGGTCCTCACAACCTGAGGTTAGAATTAGGTTTAGGTTAGGGTAAAAGTCTGGGTTAGGCATTTATTTTGGATTTGTAAGGCGCTAGGGAATGTTTTATGTCCTCTCAGCTATAGAAAGACTGACATGGGTGTGTGGGTAGTTGTGGGTGTGCATGTATGTAGGACACAGCGTGTAACAGCCATGAAAAGACCTCTTATTTCTGTGGCTTTATCCTGCTCAAATAGGATGAACAAATACAAGGTGTGTGTGTATGTGTGAAAGACAGAGAGAGAGAGAGGGAGAGAGAGAAGAGAGAGAGAGAGAGAGAGAGAGAGAGAGAGAGAGAGAGAACTATGAATATTCCAGGTAGCACAAGGATCTGCTATCAACAGGTGATCCTATATGACAGCTCACTCTTTAACTCATACTCACTCATACACCAGTTTATTACTATCTTATTTAATCTAGTTTAGTTTATCAGGCAGGGTGTCCTCGTGACCAACATGAGACAGCAGAAGTTTTGACTGTAGAGCCACATTTAAACATATAGAGCTGGTTACAGTAGTTAAACTCAGCATTAGATCTCTGGTTAATTGTTTTTCCTCAAACTTTGAATACTGTGAAATGCTACCTTGATTTGATTTTTGAGGACATGACACACAGGTGCTGCCAAGGAGTACTATTAGTGTGTGTGTGTGTGTGTGTGTGTGTGTGTGTGTGTGTGTATGTATGTGTGTGTGTGTGGCAACTCTGTGAAGCTTAGTGTCTCACCTGCTGAATCGTACCCTCTGTACTCCAGTCTCTGCAGTCCCTTCACCAGCGTCTCAAATATCTCCTTTCTGGTGCGGGGCACTTGGTAATTCAGGTAGGCAAAGATTCCTTTTAGACAGGGGGAAGAAGAAACAGGCACAGTCCCATCTTTTTAATTTCTTTTGATAACTATCATCATATTGTGTTTAAGGATACATCTATAACTCAGTCATTAGGTGACAGTAACGTTCACTTTTTGGTTGTTTGCTACCAGCTCTGTTAGTTTTGCCCATGAACTTCATCTAATTTATTTACCTTGGAAGGACAAGAATACACAACAGGCAAAATGAGAAGCAAGACATTGCATGTCACTACATTTAATTACAAGCAGAAACATCCTTAGGCTATATTAATTTAATATAACGTTATGTACACAGTCTGAGGCTACTGGGTATGTTGTACACATACAGTGTTCCCTAGCCTCTTCTGTGTGTGTGTGTGTGTGTGTGTGTGTGTGTGTGTGTGTGTGTGTAGGAATGTTCCTGGGCAACTCTCCTCCCGCAGGCACACAGCTGACCATTGACGGACGCACATTGCGCGCAGTGTTGGAGCAGCCAGGTAGGCAGGCTGCGGTAGAACAACCATGACCTCTTCCTTGCAGACATGAGGAGAGGCCGAAGGACTGTTAAAGATTTACTCTGAGCTGTAAACGTGCCTGTTCGAGAGTGGCACACGTGAAGTTGCCAAAAATGTGAGAGATGATTCTAATGATTCAAATTTAAGTAGGCCAATTATAGAGGATGGGTGAGTCACTTCATGAATGCAAGTGCAATGCAGTTTTTTTTTTTTTTTTAAACAGTAACTGGTATGACCTGCCTGTCTGGTCTGCCCGTCTACATCCGTGCATGACAACACTGACACGTAGCAGTTGTGTGTAAAGCGCTTCAGGATCCACACAGAGCAGAAAACAGACATTTATCCAACTGTTGCGCTTCAGAATTCATATTCCAATAAAACTGCAACAAGATCGTAGCAACTACGTATCACCAATTATATGATCTGACAACTTTGCAAATTCCTCCCTGTATACGCAAAACATCGCTAGACAGCACTGCAGGAGCCCGTCAAGACTATTTTCGTGAGGAATACGCTCAATTCCTTGCAACAAGTTTAAAAATGAACTCGATGGAAAGAAAACCTTACCACACATGGCTCAAGCTTTGCCGTCGTTGTTGAAACCGTTTCAGTGATAAAACCAACTTGTATGTTCCCCAGTTTGATTGATGCTTCTGCTTCTCCTGTTTGAAATCCACAGCGGATCAGGCACACTCCCACCGTGCATTTAAATGGTGTTTTCCTGCATAGCCAGCGGTCCCTCCCCCTCGGACACCTCCCATCCCTTGTTAACACTATGCTGCTACCTCTCAGGTGTTCACCCCCTCATCTGTCGTAGATGGATGGGCGCCCATTAACTCAATCATTTGTCAACCCACCGGGTTAACGTCAGCAGTGCCGACACACAAAACGATAGGTGATGGTAAACCCCACTGCATGTGTCCACCAAGTCTGACGTGTGTAAATAATTATTTTCAATTGTCACTCACTCCTCTCTTTGATCATTTATTTGGTGAAGGTTTGGTCCTGATTTCTTTACATCAGCTTGGATCGTTTTCACCAAACATTTAGACTGTGAATGAAGCATCAGAGGTTAAAACAAATGGAATATTTCAGCTGCAATTTTCATAAATTGATTTATATGTGATCTATTTGTATTCTTCTACTGTTGCCAAGTCACATATAGCTCTTGGTGAGTAGTTAGTAAGGAATGAAACAGGAACAAACGGGGCAAAATGTTAATTACCCTACTGAAGTGAGTTCCTGAATAACTGCATGAGAAAAGCTTGTGCAATTCCAACAGAAATAGTAATCAAGGTGTGTTGGTTATGGTAATTGGTTTCGTGTCATTTGGCACATGATTCAGGAAAGACGGAATCAGGGGCACACAGATTCCTCTACTAATAACACAGGTTCATCAACATGGTGCCTGTGATTCTATTTTTACATACCTTGTTAATATTATCTGTTTATGTCGAAACTTCTTCCTGTACCAAGCCCCAGAGCTGCAGGTTTATTGTGGTTTTCTGTGTAATCTGTTGATTCCACTGTGGGTAGGGAATCGGCTGACCCAGGGTCAAAATGATGATTAAGACAGATTAGGACATGTGATCAGGGCTTGTTTCAGTGTTCTTCAGAAACTACTTGTTTTTATCGCTTTAATTATCTAGTTCCTCATATCCAAACAATTACTCAAAAACTAGACCTTACCTCTGTGCATACCTGCATCAGGAGGAGCAACTCTGAAGAGTGAGTAACACCCACTGAAAGCAAACAATGTTTTTTAAATAAGTTTTGATTAATTTTTTTTTTTTCATGCAATTATTCAAGTTTGTGTAACTTGTTACCGACAGAGTGGACTGGTCATGAATTAATGTCTGTGTGGAAAAAAATAGGATATGATGATGATATGATATGATTTCTACTCTTACTGAGGATGATCCGATGTCAAGCAAAGCAAAAGACATTACATATTTACGGTATTGTTATAATAAATATATGAGTTTTTCTTTTAAAGACAGACACTGACGGAAATAAGTCCACTGGCATCTCTTCTGTTCCTGCCCCTCCTGATAATACAGGTTGCTTCCTTATTGTCTTTGAATATTTCCTGGGCAGTGGAACATTTTTTACTTCAATGAACTTCGAAGTCAGTTTAAGGGCTTTCTATGTTCACGTTGATATAAAACATATCCTACTGGGAAACCGTTTAATAGAAATCCTACATATGAAACACATACACCTAGATAAACTGTGCCAATAGTGATTGTATTACGCTAACAGTGAACAGAGATTGCTAAACTACTGTTTTGACTAATGACTGGATAAATCTGATTGTTCACATATGTCATTCACAAAACAGTTAAAGGAGTTTAGTTAAGGTGTTATCACGTTACTCCTACTCCTTCTAGTTTTACCTGCCAGAGCTCAGATCTGATGCCAAGACTGCATTTAGAGCAATAGTGAATGATAGAAACTAAGTGACTTGGACAGGTTTATATGGATTTTTTGCATTTACTTTATGTACATTTGCGTAACACCGATACTGAGGGAGACCAAAGTCTTTATAATATATTTAAACTACACCTGAACTATGGTTTCCGTATTTAAAAACATATGAAAGGCTTTGCCCAAGTGGGAGACAGGGAATTAGAGACACTGCTTCTCTCAATCACTGAGATACAGACAGTCCTTCTCTGTATCTCAGTTGGATGGGTGCCAGCAGGCATTGAGAGGGTAGAAGGAGACAGGTAGTGAGAGAGTGTGTGAGACAGTGTGCTGGGATGGAAATCTATAAAAATGACAAAGAAAGGCTTAAAACCAGAAAGTGTGTGAAGTTCTCTCTGGCGACATCTTGTCCACTTACTGTCCACGTCTCTTCTTGAGGAATGTGTGATCGTCTGGCCAAGTAACACGCCTCACCTCGCCGTGTCCAAAACCACATCGGCCCATATGTGATCATGATGAAGGAGAACAGGGATGGACCGTTTTACAAGGGGCCTATTGTGAGTGTGTGGAAAAAAAATCCATATTCCCCAGATCCACACCTTGGAAGTGCCACACAAAACTACCAGATACTAAATATTTATTCAATGCCATACCGATATCATTCAGTTACTGTGTGCTTGTGTGTACAGTATATGTTCCTATGTATTTGTTTTGTTTTTTTTATATATATACTGTGTACACAAACTGTTGGGGATATTTTTCCCTGATGTTGAAGTGAAGTGTTTTTTTTGCAGAATCCAATTTAAGTTTTTCCCTTTCAGCATCTTTCTTTGGGTTGTATGCTGACATGTCTTCAGGTGTGCTGTGGATGTGCGTGAGTGAGAACCAGTGACATAAGCCAAAGAACTGCATTCCTCTCCTGGCTTAAGGGATTAATAAGTATAATTATGTGTGGACCATGACTTTGTTATCCAATGGGATCCACCCCAAAGATCAAAGGTTCCTTAATCACTATGGTGATATAAAATGATGGGCAACAGCAGTAGGGCAGCTTACCAAGGAATTTCAGAGAAGTTGTAATATTTAATTCATTTTCACTTCTAGCTTTTGAGCCTTTAAACTTTCACTTTGGTTGTCTAGTTTGTTAGGTTACATTTTTACTTCATTGCTACTATGGTGATTCATCTTATGTAATTGTTAGATACTTATTATAAAGTATTACCAGTCTACCATGTCATGGTCCTGACTGCATCACATATATGAAGGGAAACACCCAGATAAACTAGTCCTGTGTGCTGAGTGTGCGTGAGTCCACAGCAATGACAGCAGTTGCAGTTTGACGACTTCTGATAACCACATCATAAAAACATACTAAAAATCTCTTCATCCATGTCCATTCTCACCCAATGAAAGTAATGACTTTTGAATTCCAAAATGTAGCAGGCAGCATATAAGAAAAAAAAACAGGATGTGGGCAACAGTTGAATATTTGAGGGTTACCACACAAGCACAAGTGGAGGAGTGAACTCTGAACCTGATTCAAAGTTTAAGTAAACACTAATAACAATGATATATTTATCTGTGTGACTGCTGATAAAAATCTGGTCAGTAGTTAAGTCTTATAGATAAATAATGATGTATACACCTTAATTTTATAGACCCCTTAAGGAAACATTGCAGTCTGGATTATGTAATTTAGATATTCATGCACTTTCAACTGTACACCTTATCTAATCAAACAAATCTATTATAGTAGCACATCCCAGACATCCCACACGTGAAGGTTTCACTGTCGACCACGCACACACATGCAGGGCTGCACATGCAATGTGTGGTGTAGCGTTTTCTTCCTTGTATTTCCTCTTTAACTGTTCGGCCATCAGCAACTCTCTGAGTGTGTGTGGTTTCTAAATAAATGTTGGTCTTGGTGCATCAGCCGGATGTGACTCTGGTGAGTTGAGCACCTCCAGCTGACTGTTCAGACCTTGTCGTATAGGGGGATCTCCCCTTCCACATCTGCTTCATGTTAGGGCCTGGGGGCCAGTACAGGAGGGCCCAACAATACTCCCTGCTTCTCTGTCTCTTTCTCAGTGGGGGATGGCAGGAGAACGCCTGAAGAACAGCACTAAAACACACAGCCAGAGGCTAGAAACTAGGTTATATAACACAGGTAACATTTTTTAGCTAAATAAATCTAGTGATTTTTTTTTTCAGTTTTCATTTGTTACACTACAGTGTAGTGTCCCTATATTTTGGAACAGATGACTTTCAGTAGTTAGCTTTTTCACATCAACAGGCACCTCACTTTGGTTTTCTCTTGTTTTTCCATTGCCATTTTTTTGCCTGCAGGATACAAAGGCCAGAGTATGAAATTGTATTTACTCAATATATTTCTCAGATGCTTACATCGATATACATTTCCTCACTGCGCGTAAGATGTGTACATTTTCTTCAGGGGCTCTTCAGGGACATGGAGATGCTTTAACAGAGTTTTCACAATTTATGAGGTACAGCAGTTTGTTATTACATACATAAGCACACTGATTTGATTTGTGTGTGACATATCTATGTTAATAGCCGTAACACTGTAACCCTATCCCAAGGTAGTAGGCATGATTTGTGCTTACTTTCACAGGATACAGTACCTGAACACAACCATCAGTTCTGCTCAGGGTCCCACGTACCCCCCTCTAAACTCCTCTCAGCTTGGTCGGTTCACCTCCAGGCCATGTCACTGTGAATTAGCCCCAGATGTGCCTCTGGAGTCAGCTAGTATAGCATATGACACAGAGAACCCACCCAGCAGCAAATGTCAAGAGGGACCCCCTCCAAATCCCTCGCTGTTTGTGTCATTGCGTGAGTAACCAGATTAAATCTGAAAAAACAGTTAGTCATCACCATGATTAGTGACGCTTGTTACAAGTTGTGAGTTTAGCGGATAAGAGAAACTGTAACTTAGAAGCAATAAATGAAATGTAATTCCAGTGACAATGTCGTATCTGTCACTCTAACATCTTGTGTACAGCTGATATAGAAAACATCAAAGTACCACATGCTTTGCGTCAAAGAAGTCTTTGAAGGAGTTTATTGCTGCTGGAAAATAATTACTCTTTATAGGTCAGGTATCAGCATCCCAATCATTGACTGTATGAACTCAAGACCTGGAGAGAGGATTTCCTGGCACCCTTCTGGAGTCACCCTGACATAAAGTGCCTCTATAACACTCCTACATGAATCGGATGAAAGTTCACACA